TACCATTCAGGGTAAGACACTGCTAAGATCACTTACCACCGAGATCATAGACTGGGACACTCGACTATCTAGTGAGAAACGGAAAAGGTGCGAAATTTAGAATTAGAGCAACTCCAAGTTCCACATTATTATGTTCCCAGCCCCCTCTGAAATGCTTTCAGAAGAGTTATTCACACTTTCTATGACGCATCAGTTGAAGCTATAGCTGCAGTGTCATATCTAAGATTCTTAGGTGACAATGGCAGACCAACCTGTGAATTTGTTCTGGGTAAGGCAAAACTGACTGTCCATACTGTGCCGAGGCTGGAACTTTGTGCAGCTGTACTACCTGTAGAAATTGCTAAAGTAATAAAGAGTGAAATGGATGTTGTCACTCAGGTCATGCCCAGTAATGATGGGAAAAAAACCATAAGGTAAAGGTTACTAGGGGACATATTGAATGATGTTTATTCCAGCAAATATCAGAAATAGAACTCCTTCTGCCAAGAAAAAAAGCCACTTTATGGTCTCTGTCCCAGGTCACAGCTCTCAGCAGGGTGCATTTTCATAGACTTTTCAATGACTTTCATAGCTGTGTCATTCAGGAGACTTAAAGTGCTACGGTCACCTACCATATTAAAAATGAGTATTTCATAAAGATGACATCTCTATGAAATACTCATTGTGACTGTGTTGGAATTTCACTGAAATTCCAATCCAGTCTAGAAAAATAGAGACAAAGAAGGGACTACTTTGTCTCTGTTTTTCTCCTCCGCCTGACATTTACCTGGCACAAGGCAGAGCCTATGTGTCAAGACCTGCAATTGTCATCTGCAGCCACTGCATAAAGGGTATTGGCTGGGTCTTTGGAGTGTCTTGCGGGATTCCCCATAGGCCTCAATTTTGTATTCTCACAGTGTAATTAACATGGCGGCACCCGCAAGGAACTGGTGAAGGGAATTGCAAATTTTAGGCCCACATAATTATTCAAATTTGGATATATTGACCATCAACTGTGATATCACCATTGGGGGACTTTACACATTTGGCAAAGTCCCCTTACAGTGACAGTACTGCTTTAATTTTCTTAGAACATTCTAACCACATTGGATTATAACATGAGTTGATATATGTTTTGGTCTAGTATGGCTCCCGCAGCCCAAAAGATGAGTTTTACTTGATCACCTCAAGCCCTGGGGTGTTTGAGATTTCCAACTCAAGTTTATGTTTATACAATTTATAGTTGTATAGTTGTACCCACCATTTGGCTCACATGAGGACAGTAATAGTTATAATGTTATAGATCATTCGGAAATCTAACAATTACAGACAGGGAGTGTCATGTCCCATGACTCAGGATTTTTTTTTCTATTTTTTGTGTTCTGTGTTGAATCTGCTGTTTGCTTCTTCCTCTATTACTGTTCATTCTAGTGCTGTTCATTATACTGTCATGTAGCAGCCATTTATTTCCATTTTTTTTGTTAGCAAGAACTACTGTCTTTTCACCTGCATTTCTGTATTAACAAGGATCGTCAGCCTGAAGATTAAAACTTCAACTGAGATACCCATCTAGATATCAGTTTTGCTGAGCTGACCCTGTCTACAGAACGTTCATGGTGTGAGTACTGGTCAATACATACTTAGCAGATAGGCTCAGGATTCCACATCTCACAGCTTTGATGGGGAAGTAGAACATGTTCAAATTATGAATGTGTGGCCACTAGATGTCTTTGTACACCAAGAGAATTGTGGCATTCAGACAGCAACACATTTAAACTAGTGAAACTAAATTGACAAATTTAAATTATCTTTTTGAGAATGCTCAATATAATTTAGCTTAGTATACTTTGTATTTTTAAACCAGTGGTTCCCAAATTTTTAATGTTCAAGGCACCCTTAATATTTCAGTATTTTTCAAAGGCACCCCAAGTCAAAATTTCTAGGTTGTATCTGTACAGCGCTGCATCATTTACTGGCACTATAGTGCAATGTACAGTGTTGGTGTTTGAAGGGGTGCTTGTATATAGTTATTGTGTTTTAATACAGGGGTGTGTTTGTATGTAATGTTTGCGTTTGATTGCAGGGGTTTGTCCGAATGTAATGTTCACTTTTAAATGTGGATGTACATATGTGTGAAGTATTTGTGTTTGAGTGAAAGGGTGTGTTTGTATATATTTTTTGTGTTAGATTGCAGGAGTGTGCTTGTATGTTGTGCTGGTGTTTAGAGATGTCCCGAACAGTTCGCCGGCGAATAGTTCCTGGCGAACATCGCATGTTCGCGTTCGCCACGACGGGCGAACATATGCGATGTTCGGTCCGCCCCCTATTCCATATCATTGAGTAAACTTTGACAACCCCCCCACCCGTAGCTCGGGGGTGGGGGTTGTCAAAGTTTACTCAATGATATGGGGGGGGGTGACCTACTGTTCTCCCCCCGGCCCCCACCTCTGAGCGGTGGGTGGGGACCCTAAAAAAAACAATAGGGGGGGAACTTCTGTCCCCCCCCGGCCCCCACCCCTGAGTGGTGGGTGGGGGCAAATAAATCACAATGGGGGGGGACCTAAGGTCCTCCCCCCTGGCCCCCACCCCTGAGCGGCGGGTGGGGGCCCTAAATACTAAAAGGGGGGGGACCTAAGGTCCTCCCTCCTGGCCCCCACCCCTGAGCGGCAGGTGGGGGGGACCTAATTGCCTCCCCCCCGGCCCCCACCCCTGAGCGGTGGGTGGGGGCAAATAAATCACAATGGGGGGGACCTAAGGTCCTCCCCCCTGGCCCCCACCCCTGAGCGGCGGGTGGGGGCCCTAAATACTAAAAAGGGGGGGGGACCTAAGGTCCTCCCCCCCGGCCCCCACCCCTGAGCGGCGGGTGGGGGCCCTAAATACTAAAAAAGGGGGGGACCTAATGTCCTCCCCCCGGCCCCCACCCTTGAGCGGCGGGTGGGGGCCCTAAATACTAAAAAGGGGGGGGGACCTAATGTCCTCCCCCCCGGCCCCCACCCCTGAGCGGCGGGTGGGGGCCCTAAAAAAAATGTCCCCCCCCAGGTGACTAGGCGTCCCCAAACCCCTAGTCACCCCCTCCCCCCCCAAAAAAAAAATTAACCCCCTACCTACCCCCCCTCACCCTAAAAATAATGAGGGGGGGACCGTTAACTAAGTACCTGTAAAAAA